GAACATTCTAGAACAATGGTCATGTGATTAGTCATGTGATAGTATTGAATTATTCCTATGTACTTTTTATGTTATATAATGATAGAATATTACAAGTAGCACCATATGTAGCTGTAATTCGACTTTAGAATTTTTAAAATGGCCGCCGTTACCATGGAAACTGCAAAAATGTGAAATTTTTTTAAAATGCTTCAAATTTAATGAAATTTTACAGAGATGTTAACGAGTGTATGTAGATTTGGAATTTGACTTTGGAATTTCCAAAATGGCCGCCGTTGCCATGGAAACAACAAAAATGCGAAAAATCTAGATTTGGTTCAATCTTTATGAAACTTGACAGTAATGTGACCTGTCATGTGTAGATGTGCCATCCGACTTTGGATTTTTCAAAATGGCTGCCGTTACCATGGAAACTGCAAAAATGTCAAAAAATTCAAAATGCTTCAAAATTCACACATATATTGTATGTCTTATGTAGATGTGGCATTTGACTTTGGAATTTCCAAAATGGCCACCGTAACCATGGAAACACGAATGCCTAAATTTGAAAATTAGTCCAATTTTTATGAAACTTGTAAGTAATGTGACCTGTCACGTGTAGATGTGATATCCGACTTTGAAATTTCAAAATGGCTGCCGTTACTATGGAAACAGCAGAACAATGGTTGGGGGCTGTTTTGGCGACTTTTGTGTTAGCATCCTAACACAGGATTACTTGTTATTATTATTCTTCTTCTTCCTCTTCCACCGCTTTTTAATTTGAACTTGTCCGCACCTGTTCTCCAAAACCGCTTGTCAGATTAACTTAGAATAACACAATATGTTAGACTAACATGTCTAGTGGTGCAATCAGGGTTTTGTTTGTGCAATGGGGTTTATAAAGGGGTACTTTGAGGGGCAAAAAGAAAAGAGGGTTTTACTATAGAACCCTATGGGATTTTATTTTTTAAAATTTTCAAACGATTATAAATTGAAAACTGTTTGTGATAGACACAATCTTTTTAATTGAAAATGTTCTAAATGATAAAACCCATTAAATGAAATACAGGGTTAGTCCCCAGGGGTCACCCCCACCCCCTGCCATTTAAGAAAGTTCTAATACCTTGTAAGTGGTCAAGATCCCCACCCCTAAACCATATATATTCTGGTTTGTCGTGCTAAGATGGTTTGAATGATATACAGGGTTAGTCCCCAGGGGTCATCCCGACACCCTGCCATTTGAGAAAGTTCTAATATCTTGTAAATGTTCAAGATCCCCACCCCTAAACCATATATATTCTGGTTTGTCATACTAAGATGGTTTGAATGATATACAGGGTTAGTCCCCAGGGGTCATCCCGACCCCCTGCCATTTGAGAAAGTTCTAATATCTTGTAAATGGTTGAGATCCCCACCCCTAAACCATATATATTCTGGTTTGTCATGATAAAGCACATGAAATGAAATACAGGGTTAGTCCCCAGGGGTCACCCCTACCCCATGCCATTTAAGAAAGTTCTAATATCTTGTAAGTGGTCAAGATCCCCACCCCTAAACCATATATATTCTGGTTTGTCATGCTAATTTGGTTTGAATGATATACAGGGTTAGTCCCCAGGGGTCATCCCAACCCCCTGCCATTTGAGAAAGTTCTAATATCTTGTAAATGGTTGAGATCCCCACCCCTAAACCATATATATATTCCTGTTCGTCATGTCTCGAACATTTGAATGACATATACGGTCAGTCCAAAGGGTTTCCCCCCACCCATAATGTTCTTATATTTTGTAAATGGTCGAGATCCCCACCCCTAAACCATATATATTCCTGTTTGTCATGTCTCAAACATTTGAATGATGTATAGGGTCAGTCCCCAGGGGTTTCCCTCACCCCCAATGTTCTAGTATCTTGTAAATGGTCGAGATCCCCACCCCTAAACCATATATATTCTGGTTTGTCATGCCAAGATGATTTGAATGATATACAGGGTTAGTCCCCAGGCATCACTAATGCATATAACTTTAGTGGACCAAACCAATTTTCACTGGACTTCACCCAATGTCAGGCGACCCTGGGAATTACAAATTATGGGAGCTTCGTTTGGGAGACTTTGTAACAGCATCCTGTTACAATCATTTCTTGTTATTATTATTCTTCTTCTTCTTCTTCTTCCTCTTCCTCTTCCTCTTTTGCCGCTTTTAAATTTGAACTTGTCCGCACCCATTATCCATAACCTCTTGTCAAATTAACTTAGGGTTTCACAATATGTTAGACTAACATGTCTAGTGGTGCAATCAGGGTTTTGTTTGTGCAATTGGGTTTATAAAGGGTTATTTGGAGGGGCAAAAAAAAGGAGGGTTTTACTATAGAACCCTATGGGATTTTATTTTTTTAAATTTTCAAATGATTATAAATTGAAAACCTTTTGTGATAAACACAATCTTTTTTATTGAAAATGTTCTAAATGATAAAGCACATTAAATGAATTAAAGGGTTAGTCCCCAGTGGTCACCCCTACCCCCTGCCATTTAAGAAAGTTCTAATATCGTGTAAGTGGTCAAGATCCCCACCCCTTAACCATATATATCCTGGTTTGTCATGCTAAGATGTTTTGAATGTTATACAGGGTTAGTCCCCAGGGGTCATCAGACCGCCTGCCATTTGAGAAAGTTCTAATATCTTGTAAATACTCGAGATCCCCACCCCTAAACCATATATATTCTGGTTTGTCATGATAAAGCACATCAAATGAAATACAGGGTTAGTCCCCAGGGGTCACCCCCTCCCCCTGCCATTTAAGAAAGTTCTAATATTTTGTAAGTGGTCAAGATCCCCACCCCTAAACCATATATTTATTCTGGTTTGTCGTGCTAAGATGGTTTGAATGATATACAGGGTTAGTCCCCAGGGTTCATCCCTACCCCCTGCCATTTGAGAAAGTTCTAACATCTTGTAAATGGTTCAGATCCCCACCCCTAAACCATATATATTCTGGTTTGTCATGATAAAGCACATCAAATGAAATACAGGGTTAGTCCCCAGGGGTCACCCCCACCCCCTGCCATTTAAGAAAGTTCTAATATCTTTGTAAGTGGTCAAGATCCCCACCCCTAAACCATATATATTCTGGTTTGTCATGCGAAGATAGTTTGAATGATATACAGGGTTAGTCCCCAGGGGTCATCCCGACCCCCTGCCATTTGAGAAAGTTCTAATATCTTGTAAATGGTTGAGATCCCCACCCCTAAACCATATATATTCCTGTTCGTCATGTCTCGAACATTTGAATGACATATAGGGTCTGTCCCCAGGGGTTTCCCCACCCCCAATGTTCTAATATCTTGTAAATGGTTGAGATCCCCACCCCTAAACCATATATATTCCTGTTCGTCATGTCTCAACATTTGAATGATGTATAGGGTCCGTCCCAAGGGGTTCCCCCACCCCAATGTTCTAATATCTTGTAAATGGTCGAGATCCCCACCCCTAAACCATATATATTCCTGTTCATCATGTCTCAAACATTTGAATGATGTATAGGGTCCGTCCCCAGGGGTTCCCCCACCCCAATGTTCTAATATCTTGTAAATGGTCGAGATCCCCACCCCTAAACCATATATATTCCTGTTCGTCATGTCTCAAACATTTGAATGATGTATAGGGTCAGTCCCCTGGGGTTCCCCCCACCCCCAATGTTCTTATATCTTGTAAATGGTCGAGATCCCCACCCCTAAACCATATATATTCCTGTTCGTCATGTCTCGAACGTTTGAATGGCATATAGGGTCAGTCCCCAGGGGTTCCCCCCACCCCCAATGTTCTAGTATCTTGTAAATGGTCGAGATCCCCACCCCTAAACCATGTATATTCTGGTTTGTCATGCCAAGATGATTTGAATGATATACAGGGTTAGTCCCCAGGCATCACTAATGCATATAACTTTACTTGACCAAACCAATTTTCACTGGACTTTGCCCAATGTCAGGCGACCCTTGGAATTACGAATTATGGGAGCTTCGTTTGGGAGACTTCGTAACAGCATCCTGTTTCAATCATTTCTTGTTCTTAAAAATAATGCTTCTTCCATTCATTCCTTCCGTCAATAGTACTGGTACATTCCTGTTGTTTTGAAGCATTTGCCTTAAACATGTTAAAGGGGCATTAGCTACGATTTAGACAAAAAAATAAAAATACGATTCTTTTTGTTTCCAGTATTAATAAAAGCGGAATTTTGAAATAATTTTTGTTATAAGCAGTCAGTTGGCCATAATTATCAAAATAAACCCAAATACATCACTGATGTATTATTGACTTGCAAGTCAATAATTCAACCTCTATTGAATCTGTATTCATGTGACCTTCAAATTAGCCCCTTAGCTGGAGATGGATTACGCATGTACATGGCGTGCTCAGCTATTAAAAGGAATAGAATGTCAACATTGAAAGTGAAACAAGGGTGAATCATTTTGTTGACTCATTCATTCCGCAAAAAATTATTCATATACAGGAAAAAAACGATGATTAACATATTTTTTAAACAATAACATGAATCAAACAGACCTAGAAAAATCCCAATGCATGTGCTTCCTGTATATTTATATTTTTATTTATTTTGGGGTTAAATTACCCTCTTCAGTCTTCGGAAGTCCTCTTGTTGGTTAATTAAATGGCATCTAGACGAGTCCATGCATTGTTAATTATTTATTTTAGACTTTTTGTAATTTTTTGTATATATGTATTGGTATGTTATAAATCCAAGATGAGAATTTGAGTCAAATAGGTGATCATGAATTTGACAGCTAATGCCCCTTTAAAAGTATATTTACACTTCTCAAAATGCAATTATTTTTCATCTTTGAAGCTCTAAAATATGTGATTTTAATTTTCATTGCTGTCGAACCTTGTCTTATATTCATGATGTTAAAAAAAAAGTTGGACATGCATGTACCTCCAGTTAAAACTTATGCAGTATTTAGTGACTTGGGCTATGCCTTTAATAACACTGTGGTTTTATTTTAAAGGCACAATTCCTAGCTTTCTACGTAAAAGTACATGTATCAGAGGTGTATCATGTGTCACACAGTCATATTTATATCCGTCTAGGAGATGGTTTGGTCAGCCTGCAGCTCAGACACACCCACATTTGATCAAGGAAGGGGAAGTAACTCCAGGTATCACGAAAGAAGAATACAGAAACAGAAGACATCTTCTTAGTTCTCTTGCTCTTCAAACTGAAAAAAGTAGAAATCATATCATGTTGGTTCCATCAGCAACAAAACAATATATGAGTCAAAAAATACCATATCCTTTCCACCAGAACACTGATTTCCTGTATTTATGTGGATTCATGGAACCAGATAGTTTATTAGTTATGCAGTTTGATAATTCTGAATCTTCCAATACAACCCTTTTTGTACCCAAACGGAACATTGAAGAAGAAAAATGGGATGGTCCACGGTCTGGTATTGAAGGAACAATACAATTGACTGGAGTTGACAGAGCATTTAACAATACAGAGATTGAGGGATATTTATCTAGATACTTGTGTGATAATTCTGATTTTGTTTTGTGGTATAATGAGAAGGCTATAGTTAATCGTAGTCTCCAAGAAGGTGTACTGAAAAAATTTGTAAGGGAAGATAAACATTATAAAAATGAAAATGTTATAACAGTATTACAGGCTTTGAAAGTCTTGAAATCATCAACTGAAATTGAAATAATGAGGAAAAGTTGTGCCATTGCCGCTGAGTCCTTCATAGAAGTCATGAAATACTCATATCCAGGGGTATGCATTTACATTTTACCATAGGTCAACATGTTCTTGAAACCTTTTTCAGTATTATTTCATCAAATTACATTGCAACAATTACATTTTTATTTTTTATCCCAGGTAATGATTTAGTACTTCCTGGTTATTTTTTCAAACATTAATTATAAATAAGAAGATGTGGTATGAGTGCCAATGAGACAACTATCCATCAAGTCTCAATGTGTAAAAAGTAAACAATTATAGGTCAAAGTATGGCCTTCAACACGGAGCCTTGGCTTAAGACTGCATAAATTTTGAAAAAAAACTAATGTTGAGATCCATTTTGAACATTAGTGGAACAAGATAGGACCACAGCAAAGAAACAAAGTTTATCATTATACATCAAACTCTGCATGAGCTATGGTTTCACTTCGACAAGTAAATGGATATGACAGGTATATGTCAATGAAACAGTAACCCAAAAACACAACCAAAAAATGTCATCTAGAGGACAATATATGACCTTTACCAAAAGCTAGGTTTTCAAACTGTATCTCAATCTCTGAATTGTACAAAGTCCAAACAAGTTGTTAAGAGATTGAATTCAACAGTGACTACCCAATTGATGCTATTAACACCAAATTCTTTACTCAACAAAACAAAAATAACAAATAACCAAAATAAAACGTTTGATGACCTAACTAAGGACAGGCACATTAACATGAGGAAGGTTTAGACTTAATTTATATTACTCAACTAGTATAAAAGGGACTCCTTCTTCGAATTCAAATCTTGTAATTCCTTATAAATGCTATATATTATGTAGGTGAATGAACATTACTTGTATGCAAAGATGGACTATGAATGCAGAATAAGAGATGCTGAAATCTTAGCATATCCTCCAGTGGTAGCAGGTAAGAATAAGAGATGCTGAAATCTTAGCCTATCCTCCAGTGGTAGCAGGTAAGAATAAGAGATGCTGAAATCTTAGCCTATCCTCCAGTGGTAGCAGGTAAGAATAAGAGATGCTGAAATCTTAGCTTATCCTTCAGTGGTAGCAGGTAAGAATAAGAGATGCTGAAACCTTAGCTTATCCTTCAGTGGTAGCAGGTAAGAATAAGAGATGCTGAAATCATAGCCTATCCTCCAGTGGTAGCAGGTAAGAATAAGAGATGCTGAAATCTTAGCCTATCCTCCAGTGGTAGCAGGTAAGAATAAGAGATGCTGAAATCTTAGCCTATCCTCCAGTGGTAGCAGGTAAGAATAAGAGATGCTGAAACCTTAGCTTATCCTTCAGTGGTAGCAGGTAAGAATAAGAGATGCTGAAATCATAGCCTATCCTCCAGTGGTAGCAGGTAAGAATAAGAGATGCTGAAATCTCAGCCTATCCTCCAGTGGTAGCAGGTAAGAATAAGAGATGCTGAAATCTTAGCCTATCCTCCAGTGGTAGCAGGTAAGAATAAGAGATGCTGAAATCTTAGCCTATCCTCCAGTGGTAGCAGGTAAGAATAAGAGATGCTGAAATCTTAGCTTACCTTCCAATTGTTTTAGGTTAGCAATAAAGATGCATAAATCTTAGCTTATCCTTCAGTGGTAGCAGGTAAGAAAACTTTAAAAAGAGATTCACATAATTAAAACTTGAATACAAGAAGATATACTTGAATGAGACAGTAATCCAAGGGAAATAAAAACAATAATACATGACATATAAAAATTCACATACAATGTACAGTTTCAACAAGAGACAAATGTCTACACATATGTACAGCTGTAAATCTGAAACTATCAATGCTCTACCATTTATCTTTAAATATAGTAAAGAATAAAGAACATTAGGATCTAATTAATGACAAACAATGACTATGTTCCTGACCTTTGACAGGCACATGAACATGTGATGGACTAAATTAGTCTTCTGTACACTCAGCCTGCCAATCTTTCATTGTAGAATCAAGTTAAATAATTGAAGTAAAGTAAATTTGAAATACAGATAAATGCACCAGGAAAATCACAATCTGAATCTACCCATTCTACACATACTATCTGGCTGTGATGTACACAAAAAATCAGCTTAATATCTGAAGGCAAATAAAAAAGTATGCAGATAGAATGAATGCAAACTTGGTCTGTAACTGTTCATTTTACATAGCAGTATACACAAACATCTGTTGTATATCTGCAAATTCACTAAAAAAGATTGGACAACGTTCAAATTTGTTTTAGTTTTGTATGTTTAAGGCTTTAAGCACAATAATTTTACCAAAGAGTCTGAATAGGTTAAACAATCAATCATAAACAAAAAATTTTGAACACTGAGGTTGTGAGTTCAAAACCCCCTTTTGGCAGGTGTGTTCAACTCTGATTAATTGACTAGGATTGCCATTTTTCCTACCAAGGTCAAATGTTTTCTAGGGGGTACTCTGGCTTCCTCCACTAATAAAGAGAATGCTGAAAGTGGCATTTAACACAAAAATCAAACAATCAATCAACTAAATTTATACATACACAACAATATGTTTGATAACAAGGTAATTGAGAAATATAGACAAGTACAATTGTTGTGAAAGTTTTTAAATCAAGAGTCTGTTATTTCATCAAAAGCAGGCCAGCTGGAATAACTTAATCTGAATAATAAAAAACTATAATAACCAGCTATTTTTTTTTATCTTTCATACAGGAGGAAATAGAGCTAACACCATTCATTATATCAATAATAACAAGATAGTAGAAGATGGTGATCTTGTGTTGATGGATGCTGGCTGTGAATACCATGGATACTGTAGTGATATCACTAGGACTTGGCCTGTTTCAGGTAGGTTACCATGGTAACTGATAGATGGCATATTATTTATGTAGTGTTGTTTATAAGACATAGTCTGTTTTTGGAAAGGTTATGTTAGTTGTTCCTCGGACATGATCAGTTTCAGTTAACTTACCATGGTTACTAATGAATTTTAGATGTTCATACTGTAGAGGTTGTGGTAATTTGACCGGAACTTACAACTTAGGTAGGCTACCAAGAGACTGATGGTTACAGTATGTGAATACAATGGAAAAAGAGCGAAAAGTCTAATGTACCATAAAATTTTCAACAGAGCATTCTAGAATTATCTTCTTTATCTCCATGTTCCCCAAGATATTTACAAATAAAAGTAAATAGTATTTCTTCAGTATGAATTATTTCTCCATAAAGAATTCTTGTCTTTGTGTTTCTTCTAGATATTAGGAAATACAAATATTTAGTATTTACACAACAGCTAGTGCCAAACATCTTAAATGATTTATTGGACCTTATGAATGTTCAGTAAACAATATTGCTTTTAATCTGGTAATAATTTTTTTCTGGACTAACCTTACTGAAAAGGTTTACAATTTTTTTTCAGGAAAATTCACAGATGAACAGAGATGTATATATGACATTGTACTAAGGATTCAGAAGAAATGCTTGGAATGTTGTGTACCAGGGCAGACTATGAATCAAATTTATGTTTATATGTTAGACTTGATGGGAAAAGAATTACAAAAGATTGGTGTTATTCCTCAAAATTGTTCTAATATGATTGAGGTAATTTGTTGTATCCTAATTCCTGTTATGCATGTGACTCTATAGATAAAGGAAGATAACCTTGGTCACTTTTTTCCATGGAAATTCATAAAAAATAATTTTAAAATGTTTGCTCACCTGACCTAAAAGGCCTTGTGAGCTTTTGCCATCAGTTGGCATTTGTTGTCGTTGTCAGTCATCTGTCCGTTGTTGTAAACTTTTATAAAAATCTTCTCTGAAACTACTGGACCAAATATTACCAAACTTTTACCTGGATGTTCCTTAGGGTATCTACTTTAAATGGTAAAATGCAGTTTATGGCTTATATCTTTAAAAAACTATAGAAGTTAGAGCAAATTTGACATGCTCAAGATTGATCAGCAGGTCAAGGTCTATCTCCTGCAGATATATTAGAAAAATCATCCAACCCATTTTGGAGTTAATGCCCTTGAAATGTCAATTATTTGCAAATTTCAGTTTTTTGTTATTATCTTGAAACACTAACAGATGGAGAGAAACTTTAAGCATTAAAAATGCCCAGAACAATAAGATCTACAAATAAGTCAACTTCGAAGAAATCATCCAAATGACCCCTTATAGATTTACTGCCTATAAATGATGATTTTTACCCTTTTGGCAATTTTTTTAGGAAACTACATTTGATAAAGAGAATCTTTTCATAATAAAGATGTTGAACAAAATATGATCTACAAGTAAGTCAACATGGACAAATTGTCAGTTGACCCTTTATAGAAGTTATTGCCCTTGAAAGACAGATTTTACTCATTTTTTGTTGGTTTTTTTTGCAGAAACTATAATAGCTAGAGAGAAATTGTAACTAGTCAAAGTTTTCAGCAAAATAAGATCTACAAATTAGTCAACTTGGCTGAAATTGTCACTTGACTGCTTATATGAGTTATTGCCCTTGAAAGTTGGTTTTACTTATTACTATATAACTGATTGCAATGAAGGAAAAAAATAAATATCAAAATGGCATATTGTTTACCAGGTGAGGGATTCTTGCACTTGGGAGCCTGTTGTTTCTTTAATCCTTTCAATCTGTCTGTCAGTCACAAATTATGTCATCTTCCGATCTATTACAGTTTGTGTGTTGTGTATCTTATATTTCATAATACATACAGAGTATAACAGGAGTCACTAAAAAACCTGTGCAGACCCCATCAACTACAAACACTGATTCCTCTGAAAAAAATAACTGACAAAGAAACAAAGACAACAACAATGAACCAAACATGGTTCAGATAGCCTGACTTGGTACAGGCACAAAATAATTTGATACAAATGATTTTTGTAGTAACCTTTACTAATATAGCAAACATGAACTTGGATATTGTAACATACTGAGGATTCATTGTTTTTTGTGGGTTCCAACTTTCACACGAATAATGACATTTCATCATTACAATATACCATATAGTTGGCATTTTCTATTTTTCTATCCTGGTTTCATAGGTGCCTTCATGATTAATAGCTCTTCACATGTTGAAGTACTTATACAGGCTTCGCTTTTAAATTTTGGGTTTGAGTGTTTCTGATGAAGCGGACTAAAAAAAGCAAATCAGTCAGAATGCAAATTAAATTTATTTTGGTATTGTTGACACATGTTTTTATCCACCATGAACTTTCATAAGTATTTTGGATACAATAATAATGTCAGATTTAACTGTTATTGGAATATACTGGATATTTTGATAAAGTGAACAATAATATCTCATTTATAGTTAAGAGACGGTTAATTCTTAGGCCAAACAAATATATGTGTATCAAGTATGACTCAAATTTTAAGTTCAAACTTTAAGATTTTTATTAGAAGTTCTTCACCATAGACTTTCACCAACAGTAGTTGCAAGCACTTCATTTATTATTTAAAAATAAGAGACAAAATTGTTTTTAAAAAGATTTCAAATGGTAAATTTTTCCGTAAAACAGAATTTCCAGCTATAATGTTGCAAAACTGGTTGTTTAATTGGTCAAATACGATATTTAATTGACCCACTGACTAATATCATGTAATGTTTTCCTTGCAGGCAGCTAAGCCATTTTGTCCACATCATGTCAGCCATTATCTTGGTATGGATTTACACGACACTGATCATGTGACAACAAACCAACAGCTACAATCAGGCATGGTTATTACAATAGAGCCAGGTAAACATCGAGAAATAATTTCAGTATGTGTTTCCTTAAAAAAGATATTGTAGAGATTGTAAAATTATATGATGATGATAATGGCACGATCTTAATGTGAATCAAGTGTTTAATGTTCAGTGAAAAATATTACTTGCATATAATGACAGAACAAGTTAATTTTGTTTGAATATAGACCTGCTTTGTAACACATGTAGACAGACAAGCTAAGCTTAATTTTTAAAATGCTAGTTCAGTCTGAAGGAAGACATGTCACCCTAACCTGGACACATTATTTGGACTCCGAGCTGACAAGTATTTGTATTTACTCCTAAATACTGCATGCGTAGCCCAGAAGTAGCAATTTTCAAGTCTTTTTTGGTTTGACCCTGATCGGTATCAAACTTACAACCTTCTACATTCAAGGCAAGAAGGCTATGACGAGATCATAGCCAGTTCATTAAAGTTATACCTCCTGAATGTTGTTCCTCTCTGTCTTTTTCATTTTCGGCCATGGTGTTGTCTGCTTTGTTACAAAATTGCATGAAACAACCTATGATCAGTGAATTGCAATCACAGACCCGAAATAATGGCAGTGTTCTCCCCAGGCCGATATGACGCTGCGGTGCCGCAGCGCCTTCATAATATTTTTGTAGATCCCGCAGCGTCTTAATTGGCCGCTGTCCCTTAATACTTGATCCCGCAGCGTGTTAATTTTCACATTTTCATTATAAATGTTGGTTAAAATTGTCAAGTAACTGATCACCGCTGATGGGTCGGTCAGTGTTACGCAATAACTGATAATTAGTTTTATCCACATGAGCCACGCTTATCTCAGCCTTATCGGACTATGTAATCAGGTAATAGCGTAAATGATCATCAAGAAGAAAGATATTTTTTGAAGAAAATAAAAAAAATTAAAAACTTCAGAGCAGAAATTGAAGAAATAGATCGCAAATACATTGTATTTACGCATCGTGTGTGTGATCACTTGACCATTTATATAAAGAATTTTTTCATTGGTCGAGAAGAAGAATCTATTTAAACACGACCAATGAATGTGTTGAATACACATGATAAATTTGAATACACATTACTAAAGATATTTACGATGAAAACTATGAATGAAAGTATTAGTAGTTGAAAAAATTAAAATAAAGTTTGATTAAAGATAACGAGGAGTGATTTACTTTAATATAAAGTGAAAAAATGTTGCTTGCAAGGTAAATTCGTCTGAAACTCATATTTTTAGAAATAAAATGATCATTGAACATCGATCGTGAATCCGTGCGTCGGGAAATATGTGACAATCAAAACGGGTACAGTATCGCCACAGCTTCTGTATAATGTCACTGGTAAATAATTTCAATGGTTTTAACTTAAACGAATTTGTAAAGTTTCGTTTATATCTATCTGCCAAAGATAGGATTAAACAATAATACGCACGGAAGCGTAATGTGAAACTACGGAAACTGGTCAGCTGTTCATTTATAAAAAAAAATTGTTTTAAAAAGTTGTATACCAAATATCTTAACCATATTCGATTTTATTAATTCTGAATGAACATGTTCTCTGCAAATAACAAAGAGGTGAATTATAAGCAAAAGGTAGATGATGGAAGTAGAAGTTTTTTTCAGACCAATGACTTCTAATGAAAAGGGGAATACACCTCCGTCTACACTGTCAGTATAAGCAGATTTCATTGCTTCTCCTAATCCCAACCAAGCTCAAGTTTTAGCAATTGATAAAAGCAAGCACCATGTTTCTGGTTTCAATGACAAGTGGCTGACTGAGTTTTCATGGCTTAGAAATGTTAAAGGGGGTATAAGCAAAAGTTATTGTGAGTGGGGTTTAATTTTTAACCCTGAAGAGGATAAAGACAAAGTTGAGGAACAGACTGTCCAACAAAATAACACTATCTAAAAACAATATCCCTAGAAGGAGCAGAGAGTAGAGATGAATATTTATATTCTGACTTCTTTAATTGACTGAATATAAATAACTTTTGTGTTTAAAATCAATTTATTTCATATATATATTCTTATAATTCATTAATACTCGGCATTATTAAACACATAACACAAAGCATTATAATTCATATTGCATGTCATGATTTATGACTTATTGCTTCAGATCACTATAAAAAAAGTTATGCGCCCTTGAATTTTGCGCCTTAAAAAAATCCTGGGGAGAACACTGAATGGTTCACCTATTTAAGAATTAAATTTTAGTGGTTAAGACAGTGTAAGATGAAAAAAACATAATAGGCCATTTATATTAAACAGAGCACTTGACAAATGTTACTAAGCCTTTTCACACACACATTACTTGATATATAATAAAATCCATAATATTATAAAATTTTAATGCAAGCATCATTTATTTTAAGGTCACCTCACTCTAGTTTTTGCGATTTGAATAAAAGGAGATGTGGCAAATGTGTCAGTGAGACAGCAACTCAAAGACACAAAAAATCAAAAAGAAATCTTCTATAAAGTATCTTACTCTTTTTTTAGGAATATACCTCCCTGAAGATAGTTATAACATTCCATCAGAATTCCGTGGCATGGGAATCAGAATTGAGGACAATGTCTTGATAACGTCATCTAAACCTGAGGTTTTATCCTCTGGTGCTCCTAAAGAACCTGAAGAAATAGAAAAGATTATGGCACAGTAGTCATGTGACAGATTGTTAGGAGTTTAGCCTTGAGTCTTTCATTGTCTTTTCTTTATATAGATTTTGAAAAAAATCTTGATATTAAATTGAATAAACGGTGACATGTTTTAGATGGAAAAATATGTTTTATCTACCGTAGTTTTTATAAAATGAAGACATTTTTCCTTATCTAGTGACAAAATGCGTAAATTCTGCACATATTTTGTTATATAATTATAAAAAAATAGAAAATCTTCAAGTTTAATGGTTTCAAAACATTTGAAAAAAATCATTTCAGATAACCATATAAAATACCTCATATTATGAAATACAGTGATCATTTCCTTCCTGTAGATAACATAACAGTAACAAAATCAAAATTATTTTTATTAATTTTTTTCTTTGTATTTATATCATTTCGTAATCCAAAAAGTAGTTTTTCTTTCTTTTCAACATATTCAAGTTAGAGGTATATATTTAAAACTCTTTGTAATGGCCCTTAAAAAACTGTAAATTCTACAGCGAATTATCAATCAGTAACGTTTATCAACTTTATCTTGTAATGTATTTTGTAACATTTTTTCTACAATTGTAAATATCATAGGAATTTATTGTGAATTTTATGTATTGATATTGTTATTGTTTTTAATCCAATCTCTGAATAAAGTGATTTTTATAGGATTTTGTATGTCTTTATTTCTACTCAAAACAGTGACATGTACTACTACGATGTTGATGCAAACAAGATGGATTTTTTTGCACAAAACTGTGGCTCATATTTACTTTTACCAAAAACCGTGTGCTAAATGATTGAGTTAGATATAAAATGTGCATCTGATATGTTATTTGGCCTAGACCTTTTTCAACCACCAGTGAAAAGATTAGGTTTTCAGGATACGGTCTGTTCCTAGTAACTTTGCATGATAATTAAACTATTATTGATCTGAAAATTTGTTACATATACAAGAGAGGTGAAATATACCAAAGTGATATTCAAAATCATAAGTCAAAAACAAACTGACAATGCCATGTCTCAAAAAACGAAAAATGACCAAAAGACAAACAACAGTACACAAAACACAACATAGACAACTAAAAACTGAGTAACAAGAACCCCACTAAAGCCTAGGGTGATCTCAGGTGCTCTGGAAGGGTAAGCAGATCCTGCTCCACATGTACACCTGTCATGTTGATCATGTAAGTACAAACCCAGTAATAAATCCAATTTGGTAGGTCACTTTCGAGGAAAAGAAGACAGGATTGTGGTTATGACAATTGGAGCATAATTGTAGTCATCTGTGAAACATATTCCTAATCGTCAACCAACTCATGATGGTGTTCCTAAAATTTCAAAGGGATGATTTCAACTTCACTACTTGGAACTGTTGGTTCAATAGCTTCCTAGTAAATAACATCCCTCTATCAAGGAAATCACAAATGTATATTTCTGTTGGACAAATATATGACCTTGAATTCATTTTCACAATCCAGTGGTCAGGTCAAGTTTCCAGGATAAGATATGTTCCTCAGTTAACTACACAAGACAGATCAACAATATTTAATATTTGTATTCATTGTGAGGACTTTGTTAGAGTTTGACCTTTTGAACTAAAAATCGAAAGGTTTCTCCCCTTCTCTATGTTTTCCATCTATACAAGTTTATATCAACCAAAAAAGGAAACTAAAGTTACCAACAATGAATTTAAAAAATTATCTTCTTTTGTATCAGTGACCTTGATCTTTGACCTATTGTCCACAAATCAATAGGCTTCTTCCCCTTCCATCTGAATAAGTTTCATACCAATCCATCAAGAGATACTCAAGTTATGACCTCGAAAACTATTTCTCTGGACACGCAGACTGATGGAAGGAATGACTGATAAAGTGATAAAAATGTGCTCCCATTTACATTGCATAGAATACATTCGACTTAAGACTTGATTTCAACCAATTGCAGTTGAAAATAATTCTCAAATATTGCAGTAGGAAAGACATTTAATTGTGTCATTCTTAGCAAAGCATAACTTATCTCAGAGTGAAACATCTACCAAAAACCCTCAATCAACTGTGAAAAAGAATCTGACGCAAGGACAGATTTTTCTAAATAGAAAAATAAAGGATATGGGGTATCCATCCAGGACACAAAATCAGTACATGCACAGCAAAAAATTTTTTTTAAGTTTGTTTGTTTGATTCGGTGGGACACCGCTGTCCCAGGTTAAGGGGAGGATTGGGTGCCTACAAGCATTGTTTACCCCATCACATTCTGTATGTTGTTTGTTGCTGTATATCATATTTGTTTTCTGTTTGTTGCTGTATATGGGTCATTTTCAAAAAATGTCGAATTTTGTAATTGAAAAGTTTATTAAAAGTTACTTATTCAAACAACCCTCTACATAAGCAAATCAATACAAACAGTACTTAAAGAACAACATGTTAAAAGATGCAATCTTAATAATGTCATACAAGAATATCTTGAAACATTTTTTGATAGGTGGTACAATATTTTGTCTCTCCTGTTACCATTTTCAAAAGAAATTTTGGGTTATTAAGAAAAGGTTTAGATAAAATTTTAAGCTTGTTTTACGTAGCCAATTAGATGGTTTTCAAGAGAATAAACTTCTATATATATTCATTCTGTAAAATAATAGACTATTTGCCAATTTTCCAGGTTGTACTGAAAAATGCCTCTAAAATTTGGTTTTCAAAGGTTGTAAAAATTACCACCAGTAATGCAAGTTTAAGATAGCAATTCATATTGTTCTGCATTTTTTTCTCTCTTTCAAATAAACCCAACATCAAGTAAATCCCTCATAAGTTAGTTTACTTTTTTCTTTATTTCATTGGTAACAGGAACGTACGTTTATGATATGTCACTATATAAAAGTCTATCCTGTTACCTTTTTGTCTATCCTGTTACAGATATCAGTATTGCACCTGCAAATGCTTAATTGGGAAGCATAAGACGTTATAACTTTAAGATGAGTTCAAACAACGAAATATTTCATTCGTTTTGCAACTATATGTTAAGATAATTTTTTTAACGACGTTTCTGTCTACAATTGTCTACACTACCAACAATTTGCCTAACGTTTACATGTACATTAAATGCCGCTATATAAACAGTACTTTTAGGAAACATAACTTATCAGTACATTAAATGCCGTTATATAAACAGTACTTTCAGGAAACATAAATAATCAGGACTGTATATGCCGCTATATAAACAGTACTTTTAGGAAACACCACTAATCAGTACATTAAATGCCGCTATATAAACAGTACTTTTAGGAAACATAACTAATCAGTACATTTCTTACCCATACATTTTCAGTACATTAATCTATATATCATTTTTAGTAATGTTGAGAAAAAGTTGTTTACAGTACTGAAAATTTCAGTCATTTTTCAGTACTGAAAATTTCAGTCATTTTTCAGTACTGAAAATTTCAGTAATTTTTCAGTACTGAAGAAATCTGTCATTTTTCAGTACTGAAAATTTCAGTCTTTTTTCAGTACTGTAAATTTCAGTCATTTTTCAGTACTGAAAATTTCAGTCATTTTTCAGTACAGAAAATTTCAGTCGTCTTTCAGTACAGAAAATTTCAGTCATTTTTCAGTACTGTAAATTTCAGTCATTTTTCAGTACTGAAAATTTCAGTCATTTTACTGTTCTGAACATTCAGTCATTTTTAAGTACTGAAAGTTGTAGTCATATTCAAGACCTAATTAAAAAAATCTCGGTTATGCTATCACAAATATCATAAGCCCCAAGGGTGAGTAGGGAATAGAAATATGGTCACTTGGTCTTCTTCCGACCGGCAGTAAAACGCTTGCCAAAGTTGGGCGTCCGTTTGGCTGTGCGGGATGTATCAAGTTTGCAGCTACGTCCTGTCCGAATGGTGAGGTAAATCCGATGCCTCGTGTAAAGAGAGTGCCAAGGACCCTTGCAACAACTCTTCGAGGGGTCCGTAGGTAGCCTGTTGCAAGGCAAAATTTCTGTCCCTATCCAATATACTATCATTTTCCAGTGACAGTCGAAATTCTCCCGACCATCATCCCGGTGGGACTCTATAATTACAAGACCTACCTGTTGTATTTATTGTTAACTTGTTCTCATCCTGAACATGCATGAAATATTTGCCACTGGACGTTTAGCAACCAACAATCAATCAATCATCAACAAATATCATAAGTTGGTTTGGGATAAATACAAGTATTTTATTTTAAAACTCCATCGCTATATGTATTCTTTCATTTCAACCCATTAATGCATTGAAGATGTTTTTTTTTATGAACTATATGGCCACATTCTTTATGTGCCTGTTTCAAGCCATGACTTCTCATTTTTGATTGTCGTTGTTTGTTGTATGTCATAAATGATGTTATTCAATGTTTTTGACGTAGATCAGTGCGGGGTTTTTTTTATTCTTACGATTAATTTCGCTAGTTATTAAGTAGACTTTTACAGCTTTCCGTGCGCTATGATATTTTCATTGTTGATTTGTGTGAAAGACGGAAAAGGAGCTGTCATAAAGACAGTCAAATTCAATCACATAAGCAACAAATACAAAACCATCAGACAGAGGTCACCAATACAGTTCTTCAATGTTTAGCAGTCTACACCATACATGAAGCTCTGAATGGCTCCGACAAAAAAAAAAGATGTTATCTAGCTGTACAGCACAATGTCAGAATATCGTTTATTCAACTAAATGTATAACTACACAAAGACATATCTATGACATGACTTTGTCCGACTTGGGACAGAGGTGCATATAAATGTGGTGGGTTAACCCGATTTTGTCGACGTCTGACGTTGGACATTATGGTTATATATAGTATTCTTGATCTGTTGTTGATAGTTGGCAAGCATACCACATCTCCTTGTTTTTATAATACAAATAAACATGTAGGTTATATAAACAGTCGTCCATATTAAAACTGTTGCTCTTTAAGCAACAATGCATGGTCATAGCTATTTTTGACTAGGTACTTTCTTGGAGCACTTACATTGCAATGAAGTCTTTAATAAAGTTCACGTTTCTCCTATAGATAGAAAACATTCTTCTGATACCATGACAGTTTGTTATCAGTAATAATTTCAAAGTAATTTAAAAGAATATGCACACATTTCAAGATCTTTTTTTATAACATAAACCTTGGACACAGTCAAGAGCCTGTAGTCTAGTGGTTGTGGTTTCTTCATTTCAGTCATATTTGTTGTTTGTAAATTGTTTTGTTATAAATTAGGCAGTTAGTTTTCTCATATGAATTGTTTCATATTCATATTTTACATGTTTAAACGTTTTATAGCGACTTTACGGTATGGGTTTTCACTCACTTAATCAAGGCCGTACAGTCGACTATAATTGCTTATATCTACTTAATTGAACTTTGGTGAATAGTTATCTCATTGGCAATTATAACCACATTTCCTTATATATTTTTTTTATTGTAATAGACCTATTTGGCATGTTTGGGAGTTTCAACGTCTGCAAAAATAATGCTTTAGATTAGTTTGTATTTCAGATAGCTCGCTATCGGTTTAAACCAGAAACCAGCAATACCAACATTGATATTTTCTATTCAACGGCAAGAAATTAGAACCTTAACTTTGCTTCTTTTTGTTCTTTGTGTGGTTTTAATATTGCATAAGAATTTCGACAGCAGTAGATTTT